AAGGATAAGAAGACACGAAAAGAAAAACAAACAAATGCTAAAACATATCAAGCAAAAGCGAACCTTACTCCAGTCGGCTCCGATGCACCTTTATGGAAAACTCAGCCCGAATTTTCGCCATGGTTTCTTGCCACAGATGATGCCTTCCACGTTTTCCACTCAAGAATCAACTTGGGATTTATTCGCAAGCAAGAAACATTGTTCCGTTGAGACATTAAGTTTCAAAGAAGATTCGATGGCAGAGCACGGCTTCTAAAAAAGGATGTTTCTTCTGTGACACGGCCTTTGTTTCCATCGAAAAGCAATGAGAGACCTTTAGAGCTCTTCTAAGCTCCATATCATGTAAACCCTGAAGAAATTCTTGAGCTTGGCGTGAATTTGGTCCAAATCTGGCGCGATTGCGTTGTTCAACAGTTTTTGCGACGACCTGACCTTTTAAAAAGTCAGACAGCATTTTCTATCATACTGTCCCCTTGAGAAGTAAATGTTAGCACAATAAAAAAGTTTGGCGAAACGGAAGTGAAAAATAATAGAAAAACATGAGGTGGAGTTATAATTTTGGGACGTCGGCTAAGTGGCCTTTTAACAAAAATTATTAGAAAAAATTCCTGGGATCTCAAGTTGGAAGTTGATGTTCATAGGCAATTTCGTATTTGTATTTGACACACTGCCACATTGGAGACTTTTTCTAAAACATCTAATTTGTGAGATTTTGGGAAATTCTTAGGTGGAGTTATAATTATGGGACGCAGTGTAGTAGGGATGGTGCATCTTATATTAGGTGTTTCAGAAAGTTCTGTCGTTTTCCAACCCCTAATTTTAAATGCACGTATCTCGGCTTAGACTGAACCTTTCGAGTTGATAAAAATTCGAAAGCGCGAATCTTTTTCTATAAGAAGCCGTTCAACTGGGTACCTTTGTTTGGAATGCTGGACCTCTGGAGGCGATGAACTGAGGGAGCTGAGTAGATAGTTAGAAGTTCTACTAAGTAAGATGTTCGCAGAACCACTCTGAAGTTCAGCTGGTACAACTTGTGAAGGGTTGGCCGTGCGATGTGCGTTCAAGACACCTTTCAGGGATGTGTGCGTTCCTTTATAATGAGGAATGCTGGACCCATGTCTTAGAGTTTTTGATGATTTTTGACTTAATATAAAGATTGATTCTCCACTGTAACAGTTCCACCTGATACTGAAGAACATGGCCAGCCGCTGACCCCATGAAAGCTGCCACAACCCTCCTCCAGCACAGTTTAAATTCTGCAAAGTTTGTAGAGCTTCATCGCCGTCGATCTATTCAGCAAACCTGATAACCCGATACAGAGACTGCTTTATAGCCAACTTTACCATAATGAAGCCGCGGTTTGATGCCCATCACCTTGACCTTGTTAGCGTAAAGTTTAATTATGATGCAATCTCTGCATCTTCATTTATGATGTGATACTTGTTACTTTAGGGTGGATAGACGTAACGAAGACTTTCAAAACGTCGAGAGTGAGAGCCTTAGTGGTGAAACTCCAGTTCGGGGGGGGCCACTCCATTTTTTCTCCAATACTCAAGATAAGGATTAGAGGGCTCACGACACGTAATCGACTCATTTAAAGTAGACTTCTGATAAATATTGGTGTAATGGGTGAGAAACCCTGAAACGTTTTCACATTTCCGCCTGCCATGACCCAAGGGAACGGTCCTGGACCAGGAGAAAGGACACCTCCGCAAAGGGCTAAGGGTGCAGGAGCTCCAGGGTGGATCACCTGTGCAGAAAAGTGGATGGGATGTGGGCAGGTAGTGTGGAATGTAGGACATCCACCGGTCCTTATCAAAAGTACGCTCGAAATGAGTCGTTCACTTATTATCTTATCCGTAGTGTTCGATAGCCCAAAGAACTGCTCTCTAGTACTACGGATAAGATAGCAATGGAGTGGCCCCCCGAACTGGAGTTTCACCGCCTTAGTTTTAGAGACCTGCATCCTTGCAAGTCTCTAAAACTAAGGCTTATTCATTGTCATCCTCACGGAAGTGGCACTTTCTCAGTTGTAGTGGATTGGGTGATTTCATTTGCAAAATGGATCAACAACTAACCGTAAAGTGCTCCTTTGATGGTCCGCTCGCTACAACTACTGTGAATCAAGTTAGCGACTACGGACCGATGGGAATGCAATTATCCCTGATTAGGATGCCTTTCTCGATGTGTTCTATGAGTCTTTGTGTGCACGCATTTCGTCATTATACCTCTAATGGTCACTTCACTAGGGTGTGCTGGTAGCGACGCCTGAAGCGTAAATCTGATGATTGTAAAATTAAGTTAAACTCCCTTCGTCCCCTCAAAAAGGTTTTTTTCAGCATCCTCCCAATAACATATTCAAAGTGATTAGAGGGAGCACTCCAGGACGACAAAGTGTTTCTTCCGATCTCGAAGTTGTCCTTACGGAAGGGCGATATAGGTGTTACGCGAAGAAAACAAAATCGTCCGACTATCAGCTGCTGAGAGACTACCACCTCATGGCTTTTACAGGTACCTGTCGAACAAGAATTCACCTCTTTTTTCTTCTCTTCAACATTCCAAAGCCTGAAGGGAAATAATTTTGAGTTTCAACATCATTCTCCATCTTTACATCTTAGAACGTCCATTACCACCGGAATTGATTGAAGTTCGCATAAGGAGGTCCGAGCCACGAGAGATATTTGTAAAATGGAAAGTGGAATGGCTCGTTTATAACAGGTCCACAGCAAGGTCAGTACCCTTTATAATATGTATAAATGTAAGAACCAAGATGTAGGGCACGATTAGTGACAACTATTCACGTTTTGTACGTACAAGGTTTTATCAGTATAAGAAGAGCGCTTAAAGATTAAAGGAATCCTTCGCGGAAAAATCATGATTCTATTTCAGCCATAAATCACTGGCTTGAGACTCATTATCCACGATAAGAATGAAAAGAACAGAAATATTGCTTTCGTTTTGGTAAAAAAAAATTCGAAAAATCGAAAGGGCTGCTACGCGTTCAAAGTGCCCACGGACGTCTTTCACAAATGCTGGCGACGGGGATGCTTCCACTTGGTTCTTGGAGTGCCTTCACTAGAAACTCTTTCTTTTCTGCTTTATTGCATTCACATCTTACACTTCTACTCCATCCTATTCTATCGATCGATTTGTCTCTACTCTCCAAAATCGCGCGCTTTAACCCGATTCTTCATTGCGTCGCCTGATACGTAGCCGGCCAAAGGCCAACTTCTTTCCATGCCTCGTTTGGCTCCGCCCGAATTACCTTCGATGTCCATAACGTGTAGTTTTTGTACGTTTGTTTCTCTTCGGAAACCGAATCTTCATGCGTGAAACTTTGTGTGCTGTTTCCAGTGATCACAACTGACACATTCATGTCAAGAAAGAATGCAAGAATTTTCCGCGAAGGATTCCTTTGATAAACGGTTTGATGGGAAAGTCGCCCCATCTCGGCATCCGACTTCTACCGACGCAAATACCTGTTGAGAGAAATTGTGAAACAACCGCCAGCAAACAAAAGATAAAAAAAGTGTCGGTATCAGTCAGGGTGATGTAGTAGTACTTCAGAAGTAGAGAGAGCCAAACCAGTCTATTCACCTAGGATCGGGGCTGTGCTAGCTGCTTGAGGCACTAACGATAGCAAATTCCAAGTCCTCTCATCTTGAAACCTCGGCATTTTCGTTGATGTTGAACTTGTGTTTTTACTTCTGCCTCGAGGTTGTTTAGGTGGTAAATTTTATTCTGGCCAACGTTTCGACGGACTCGTCGTTTTCAAAGGCCTGAAAATGGCTCAAAGCTTACGAATTGCACACTACCCCACCAAACGCCTCCTCCGCTCTAGCGTTTCTGACGTTCTGTCAGGAACGCTCGGAAAACACCCAAAATTCGAAAAGATAAGCTCACCTTTTACCACCGCAAAGTGTAGCAGGGTGCTACACGCGGTTAGTACATTAGTAGCGAATGACCTTACTCTGTTGTCCTTATGCAATTTTGATATTGCGGACAAGCACGTTCGCTAACTATGGAAGTAAATCGCAGTGTTGCATGAATGGCAAGAGATCATTTGTGATTGACACACCTTGTTCATCTCTGGATTTCTAGCCAAAATCCAGAACGCCTTCCAAAGCTTTTCTCGACGAAATCTCCGTCTCGTGAGCCAATATCGTACACCTGATGTTAAAATCACTGCCATCATGCTGTTCTATTCTGTGTTTTCCTAACGGGGTCCACACATTACTGCGCCGTTTACCAGCTAGATGCTCTTTGACTCGTACTGATAAAACTCTACCAGTTTCCCCTATGTAAGTTGAATTACATGCCTCACACTGAATCTGATAAATTACGCCCGCAGAAGCGCAATCTCCATCTCTACCATTTGGACATGTAACGCAACCCTCTGTCAAGCACTGCCTATCGTAGAGTCTGTTCCTCACAATTTGGCGTTTGATGCTATCATTCGGAATGTTGACTAGAACAACATCATCGCTCAGTTGGTGCCCGAACAACACATCGTTGTATTGTGGCAGATACCTTTCGAGATGGTGAAGACGGTAATCATGAGAGGTATTTTCCTGTGTCTGGCGCGAAGTTGTTTCCCAGTGCTGTCGAACGGTGGATCTTTCCTTCTGTTATGTGGAATAGCGCATGATAGCCGTTTGAGGCGCGCTGCTATATAAGTCCGGAACTATAGCGTTCTTGATTTCAATTCCGTTCCGTTAGCCATCAGGCTACATGCGCGTGCAGCGTTGTTCTATACAGGATCCTAAATATAAGCAGAAGCGCAATCTCCATCCCTACCATTTGGACATGTAACGCACCCTCTGTCAAGCACTGCCTATCGTAGAGTCTGTTCCTCACAATTTGGCGTTTGATGCTATCATTCGGAATGTTGACTAGAACAACATCATCGCTCAGTTGTGCCCAAACAACACATCGTTGTATTGCGGCAGATACCTTGTCAGAGATGAACGGTAAGCATAGAGGAAGTCTGTTCTGGCGCGAGGTGTTCCTGCTGTCAACGTGGGATCTTCCTCTGTTATGTGATACCATATAGCCGTTTGACCGCGCTATACCGGAAGCTAGTCGTCTTGATTCATTCCGTCCGTTACATCAGTGCACATGCGCGTAGCTGTTCTATACATGATCCTAATAACAGCGCGTTTGACAGCGAACGGATGTGCAGATGTAGCGTAGTTGTGAAGTTGTGAAGTTTACAAGTGAAGTGGTACCGAAAATCAAAGAACATCTTGGTTCACGCTACATCTGCACATCCGTTCGCTGTCAAACGCGCTGTTATTAGGATCATGTATAGAACAGCTACGCGCATGTGCACTGATGTAACGGACGGAATGAATCAAGACGACTAGCTTCCGGTATAGCGCGGTCAAACGGCTATATGGTATCACATAACATCAGAAGATCCCACGTTGACAGCAGGAACACCTCGCGCCAGAACAGACTTCCTCTATGCTTACCGTTCATCTCTGACAAGGTATCTGCTGCAATACAACGATGTGTTGTTCGGGCACAACTTGAGCGATGATGTTGTTCTAGTCAACATTCCGAATGATAACATCAAACGCCAAATTGTGAGGAACAGACTCTACGATAGGCAGTGCTTGACAGAGGGTTGCGTTACATGTCCAAATGGTAGAGATGGAGATTGCGCTTCTGCGGGCGTAATTTATCAGATTCAGTGTGAGGCATGCAATGCAACTTACATAGGGGAAACTGGTAGAGTTTTATCAGTACGAGTCAAAGAACATCTAGCTGGTAAACGGCGCAGTATTGTGTGGACCCCGTTAGGAAAACACAGAATAGAACAGCATGATGGCAGTGATTTTAACATCAGGTGTACGATATTGGCTCACGAGACGGAGATTTCGTCGAGAAAAGCTTTGGAAGCGTTCTGGATTTTGGCTAGAAATCCAGAGATGAACAACCGAAATGAGGGTGTGTCAATCACAAATGATCTCTTGCCATTCATGCAACACTGCGAGTTACTTCCATAGTTAGCGAACGTGCTTGTCCGCAATATCAAAATTGCATAAGGACAACAGAGTAAGGTCATTCGCTACTAATGTACTAACCGCGTGTAGCACCCTGCTACACTTTGCGGTGGTAAAGGTGAGCTTATCTTTTCGAATTTTGGGTGTTTTCCGAGCGTTCCTGACAGAACGTCAGAAACGCTAGAGCGGAGGAGGCGTTTGGTGGGTAGTGTGCAATTCGTAAGCTTTGAGCCATTTTCAGGCCTTTGAAAACGACGAGTCCGTCGAAACGTTGGCCAGAATAAAATTTACCACCTAAAAAACCTCGAGGCAGAGTAAAAACACAAGTTCAACTAACGACAGCGTGCGTTTCGATTTTTTCGAACAGGCGCGATTTTGCGGCTGCGGCCAACCCACCTCACATCCGTCGATTTTGGACGATAATATGCGAGAAATGGAATGGTACAAAGTAATCTTGGCACGGTCCGTTACGTCTACATATGAACATCCGTACAAATTTCATTTCGCATCCACTATTCTTTTTTGTTTACATACAGTGGCGCTCAAAAGTAGTCGGCCAAATGCTTTCTCGGCCGTAGCTTTCTTTCTGCTGAATCAAATCAGTTCAATTTTGATATGTTTTAGAGGCAAACCTTCTTCACTAAGCAAGTGTATTACTGTTGAATGGAGAAGAATCAGAAAGAAAAAATGTTTACACTAGAAATTCTCGAGTATGACCGAATTCCATCTAAATTTCAAATTATTGTTAAAAGCTTACAATTCAACGAAACAATCTAGCGCATAATAGAAAACAACACTTTCTCAATAACCTTCTGCAGTTTTAAATACCTCTACAAGGTCTAGTGGTAAGTGTGGAATCAATCACTGATTGCACTGTCTATTGGGACCATCTTTCAATTCTTCCTAATACTCCTGGCTCTTTTTTTCTGCCGAAGGTTTTTTTGCCTTCTCCCATGGTGGATTCGATGACGCTCAGGACATGTGACAGAAGTGGCAGCTCGTTTAGAAACATGCCGTGCTTCCAATGAACTTGTTATGTTTACAATAAAAACAAGTTGAATCGAACTAATTCATTTATTATCCTGATAACGATGTTTATTCAAAATTGAACATTATTCTATGAGTTGGTTTATATTTATTTGGAGGGGTGGTGAACGAAAGAAGTCGTTTAGTCTCCGTTTCGCACGTGACCCTTGCAAAACCACTCCACTCCCACAGTGGAAGTGCTTACGGATGCTCCACTGCCAGAAGACGCAGACATTAGCGTGCAGTTGCCATACGCGTGGATAAATAACACTTAGAACCTAAATGCCTCCATCTGCCTTCACCGCTCAGGAATTCTGTAAATTTGTTAGACTGTGAAGTGTAGAATACATTGTAGAAGAGTACAGAAGGATGGGTTTACACACTCCTGAACTGGAGATCCCCGCAGCATCATTTGGAGCAACGAGAGCGAATTCATGGTCCTCGCTGGCGGCAGCAATAGGCATGTGTGGAGTCGTGACGCAGAGCGTTTGGATTCAAAGTGTCAGATGTCATCCTTGTAGCTAGGATGAAATTCGGTTATGGTAGGTCGTGGAACAGGGTCAAGCGTGCGTTGAGGAATCCTCGACATGTCACAGAGGGGGGGTCGTATTGGCCCGCTGGGGAGAGATTGATACAGTAGGATCATCGTCGGAGGACAAACATTAAGGATCGAATCGATACCAGGCCAGAGTATTTCCAATAACAATTGATTCCGTCCACACAAAATCTTCGTGATTTAGAGGTGTCCGCTTAGCAATTCTTAGTGACTTTAGTGTTTCATCACCACACAAGTCAAAGGATCCGAAATTCGCACGTTTTCTAGGGATATTTTATCTTTCAAGTAGGTCCTCAAATCCAACGAGATGTGAAGCACACGGCGCATCCCAGAGTGGGCCCAGTTGGTTGCGCGCGCTTCAGCTACGGCTATCTTGATAACGAATCTTAATTCAGGAAGAATCAAGAGGGTTCTGAAAGAGTTCATGTTAAATTACAGAGAGGAGTACACTATTCAACAAGAAACGCAGCCTTCAGCGTCAAATTCACAAGCATGTAACCTTTAAAGTTGAGACCCGCTAAACAATTTTACACTTTTTGCAGAGAGAAAAGCACGAGGATTTTTGCTCCTACTTCAGTATGTAATCGCTCCTGCAAGGAGCTATAGTCGTTGGGATAGTGCTAATGTAGCGAAAAAGTACCTTTCGGCGGTACTCGGGCAAAAATCCTCAACGTGGCCATTTTTTAAATAGTGAACGTATTTAGCAGTTTTAGTTGCCTAGAAAGAGCAAATCTTCTAGTTTATGATGACGTATTAACTTTCCAGATTGCATGAGTTTGAACGGAGTTATGGCTTTGGAAAGCGTAAAAACTCGCACTCATCACGAATTTTCCTCGTTAAAGGAATCTTGCGCGGAAAATTCTTGCACTCTTTCCTAACATGAATATGTCAGTTGTGATCACTGGAAATAGCACACAAAGTTTCACGCATGAAGATTCGGTTTCTGAAGAGAAACAAACGTACAAAAACTACACGTTATGGACCATCGAAGGACCAGGAGGCAGAGCCAGGCGAGGCATGGAAAGAAGACGGCGTT